GGAGCTCCTGGTTCTGCAGTGAGAGGAATGCAGAAGGATCCTTTGAACCCAACTGGGCTTGTCTTGATCTGTTGATTTATTCTTTGGTGCTATTGTCTCCATGATTAACGGCCATGCTTTCCTGAGATGACCAAGAAAAGCTGTTTGGATGAGGTTAGAATCCTCAAGGATTCTTTTAAGATTACCAGCAAAGTTGAATGGATTCACAGGGCATCATCCTTGGATGAGACCCTCTCTGGAGCCAGATACGGCAGGTCTGACACTGGCTATATTGGATATATGCGCATAAATACTGTGGACTGTCTGTCCACAGTCTCCAGAATCTGTATGGACACTTGCAGGAATCTCAAAGCAGGGAAAGCGTTAAAAACATCCCTCGCTGTAATCTGATTTATCATTGGGCTTCCTTGGAAGGTAGCTCAATGAGTTATTTGCCAGAACTTAGCCCGAGTTTCTGAGCAGAAGGTGCTGCCTCCCGGCAGGGTTGGTGGACACGGTGTGCAGGAGGAAGAAGTGAAAAACTGAGGACCTGAGCGCCTCTCTTCTCTCTTAGAGGTAGAAGGCAGATCAGTGCCTCAGATAGGAACTGCACAGAATCTGCTTACAATGGGCTGATCAAAACTTAAGGTCAGAACAACCAGAACCTCCCGTGTTTGATCTAAGAGCACTAGCTTGGCACATTAAGTCTCCCTTGACTCATAATCCTGCACAAACAGGTGTTCTACCTTTTAACCCCATGTAGCAAATTGCCAGACTAACATCATCATACCAGGGACAGAAATGGGAAATGGCACGTATACCTTGCATGGTCCTTCTCCTCCTTATATATAGCAGTATATATACTGTATAATATCAATACTGTAGTGTGCATATTATACAGATGCATACTTTCCATTACTATTTACTGATTTTAATACCTGAGATTTCTTTCTTCTGCTGGTTTTCTTCTTCTGTGTTTCATCAAACACCAATGTCATGCCCAGCTGCACAAAATACAGATCAGGAACAAACACCACAAACTCACTATGAAGTTCCCTTTTTTTTTTTTTTTTTGTAAGATTAAAAAAAAAAGGGAGAAATGCCTTATTTGCAATTCAGTTTATTCAGAACTCTTGATTCACCATTAACTTTAGGCCAGGATGCCTTCAGACACAACTCCAATCACTTGGAAATGCACTGTGAAATGCATCAGCATACTTGTGTTCAGAGATCAATTTCACAACACACAGATAAAAACGGAGCAAATGAATTATAACTGAGTTTTAAGTTCACCTAAATGCTAATTTTTGAAAATCAAAGAGAAAAATCATAAACCTTAGCATTTAAAATTTAAAAAGCAAATGAAAAAAAAAAAAAACCATTAGGGGAAGTACATTGGGAGTCATATGCTTTTGGAAGTAAGACACTGGTCCAGAGATTTTTCCAGTGTTTTTTCTTTAACTTTCCGTGAAGGTGGCAGCTTTGTATCACCAGTTCTTCTTCAATCACCTTTTGCAGTTGCACTTTATAGCTGGATTTTAAAGTGTTTTACAGCAGCATATCTACATCGACTTCAGGAAAGCTGTAACTAGCAAACATAGGAGTCAGGAAAGTAGCTGTGTCCCCCTGGGCTATTTCTAGGCATTCAGCAAGACAGAAGTAGAGTCAGGACCTCTGTGAAGCACTTTCTGTGCCTCTTCTGAGCACACACTAACAAAGTTTTAGTGTTCTAAAATGTTTCTTCTCATTTCTCTTTAGCAATAACCAACAACTTTTTTATGCTTTTGGTATCCTTAAAAAAAAGTCTCCCCGGGGTGAATACATTCCAGCAGTTAACTAATCATTGGCATCTAAAACAACACAGAGTATTTTCTGGTTCTAAAAGAGCAGGTATCGCATGGCATCATAGTGTGTTTGCATCATGTGTGATGAGAACTTTCTTTTGGCATCCATGGTTTCATTCCTTGCACCTTAAATTCATTCAGCCACAACTATCTCCCCCTCTCCTCCTTTGTTACTTCTGTTCTTTGGAGAGGTCTAAGCTTGTATTCCCAAAGATGATCAGAGACATATTGGGGAATTTTTGTACATATTATTTAAGAGATGGAAGAGTGACATCTATTAAAACTGGCTTTTGTGTTATCACCGGTAAGGAGCATCACAAAGATTAAATGTTAACCCCCATCAATATTTGCATACAGACGTCCTAGGACAATGCCCATACCTCTTGAGTCACAGCTATTTTTTTAGCTTCCTGTATATGTAATACAAAAATAACTTGCTTTTCTATTTTCATTAAGAATGTGGCAGTTTCCTTGCTTTACATCCTTCATCAGATCTTCAAAATCCAGCAAAATGCCTTGTCAGCTAACAGAAATAACTTCCTTCCTTTCACTCCTTTTTAGCTATGCAAACCATTTTTTCACGATTTCAGTTTCTACCTTTTTCTCTTTGGCTTTTGTTTGTCTTTGATACATTAAGAGGGAAAGTTTAGCTTCTCTTTGCTGTGCAAATCAGGTTTTCATGGTACACTCATTGCACTGTGTTTCCTGCACAAGTAGCTACAAGCACAGGAGCCTGGGACAGCACCCAGCAGCATGCAGAGTACAGTGAGGGCACCCAAGAGCAGCCTCCCTTGCAGCTGTAGCTGGCCCCAGTCTCCACGTCCTCACTGCTGCCCATGCCATGCCATGTCACGCAGCAAACCCACTGTTCAGGATTGACATCACCGTAATTGTGCCTTCTGAATAAATTTTAGCCTTACTATATTCAGTATCAGTTCAGTCAAAGCTGCAAGGTGTTTATTTTTTCCCCTTCATGTTATTTTTCAACCAAGGAATTAATAGCCAGACAGCAGCCATACATACACATAATATTATAGAACTTTAATGCTGTTCAGCATAGGTCTTCATTTTACACTCATCCATATATGACAGTGTAGAAGTATTTTTTACAATACAAAGTATTTTTGAAGTACATGTTTCTAGATAAAACATTCACAACACAAGCTTTCAATGCAAGTGGGGAATTAGAAAAATATTCAGGCAGAGTATAAAACCCTTGGAAGTTAAAAATTGCAGAAAAACAAGATGTATAAAAACATCTCGCTGCAATAATTCAAGAGGATGAGTGGTCCCTGCAGCCCGACGGGCTGGCGCTCACCGCTGCGAACCCAACGGGAACCTGGGGCAGCCGGACTGAAGGGCGACCACGACTGAGGGCAGTTGGCTCTCAAGGATCCTTCCACATGACAAATCCGTGACAGATCCAACAAGGGAGCCTTCACAGCAGACACCCTTATTTGCTCACTGTGAATGAGTAGGCCAGGGAATGAGGAAAGTCCTGTCTTTCCTTACCCAGCCACACCACTGGGGTCAAGAATTTTCATGTGCGCTGGCAGGATGTGTCAGGGAAGTTGTTCTACAAATGACAGGGAGTCTTTTTTTTTTTTTTTTTCCTCTTCAAAATTAGTAATTTGGCACTTTTCACAACAACTAGAATTATCTGCTAAATTAAAAAAAAAAAAAAAAAGTTTTGCTGCCTGCTTAACATGCTGCGTGTTGGACAGCAGACTGCAATACTATGTTTTAGTTTTGTTACCTTAACTTTGCATTTCTAATATTCCTAATCATTTTATATCTGGGACATTCAAAGCAGGCTCAATTAAACTTCATTGCTGCCAGAAGCAACTCCACAGAGAGTGGACCACTTTGTATTCCATTGCTTTCAGCAAGATGTTGAGGAGACATAAGGAGAAGCCCAAATAAAAACACCTTCACAACACTGCAGATTTAGGATTGCAACAAATCGTACACCGCAAGAATTGAGGTCAGACATTATTCACCATTTGGTAATATTTCATTCAAATGATATTGACTCACATAATACATAACAAATGCAGCACTTGAAGTAGCAAAAACAAAACCATACTCCAAAGGAAAACAGTGCAAATATTCCTGTTAAACAAAAATATACCACGTATATACACACACAACACAAATGCACTGTTTTTGTTCTGCAGTATAAATAGATTTGATAAAGTTAAATCCATGAAACTAATGAACTACTGACTGACAGTTCTAGACAGTTTCCACCTACTAAAAAATACAGTAAGCTTGAAGGATCAAATCACCATAGCTGACCATGGTTGTAAAAGAACATCAAAAGATTGCACTGGATGGATTTTTTTTTCCTCATTACATCAATCATTAAAATAATATATACTAGACTGATATAGTAAAAGTCAGCTTGGGCTCTGATCATGCAAGGAGCAGATACAGAAGTCCAAATACTCTATAGGGAGCCCCAAGTCTATAGCTCTATAGAAATCATTATAAGGGTGCTAAACACCTAAGGCCCAATCACAGGATTTAACAAGGGGGAGCATTTTAGCTGCCTACACAGGTAATATCTATTTCATTTCCATTTTATTCCTCTTCTGTTTTAGCACCAAAATTCAGTTATCTCCTACTGACATATCTGGTTATCATTGAATTGTGTAATACCATACAATGAAGAGAATAATTCTTCTAATTAGTTTATAGTAAAACTAGGAAAGGAAGAGATGGAAACTTGTTTTCAGCTAAGGAAATCCCAATAAGGGGTTATTTGCATTTTCAACACTTTTCCAAACAGATTTTAAGAGGGAAAAAAAAAAAGTCTTTTTGGAATTACATTACAGTAAAATAGACAAGTGGCATTTACTTTGATCTGAAGTGGAACACTCGAGCATTAACCTCTCTTCAACTGCTATAGCTTCCATCTTCTTAGTGCCAGTGCTGTGCTGCAGCCATAACAAATAGCTGTTGCAAAGGCAAAAATCTAAAGGAGGAGTAGGAAAAAAAATAGTGTGAATCATACATTATATTGCTGCACACTTATATACTAAATGAGCCCTGTAACACAGATTCAAAAGCTACTTCTCCCAGCCAAAATACTCTTAAGGGAAAGGGAAAGGTGTGGATTCTCCAAAATCTTCTCAGGAAGCTCTGTTGTAATCCCATGTTACCACTTTTAGGTTAGTTGCTAGCTTCAGATGACATTTTGGAGTAAAATATGAACCAGAACATCTGCACAGGTCATGGCACAAATTAGTCATGTATGTATTTACATCTGTATTTCAGCTTCCTTTTGCCCAGACTGCGCAAACTCGTTCTACTTTCGCTTTGATCAAATACTAATCTCAGATTTGTCTCTAAGTGAATGTTTACCTATGGCAAACAGACAACTATTCACCTGCAGAAACAGGGAAATAGATTTGAATCTGGCCTCCCTGGCTTGACAACCAGCCATTAGAACAGTTTCCTGGCAAATGCCAGAAAGTTTCTACTGCCTGGAGAATTTGTAGATTTGAAGTGAAGGTTGTGCCACAGCAAATTTGAATACGTAATGTAAATCAGAAAGAAGAATTCAGAAACTGAACTGTTGAAAAAGAGGCCCATCAGGAATGACGAATACTTTCCCTTAGAACATACGGATCCAAGCAGGTGATAACATCCCTGGTTATGCATACAATTTTGACAATTCAAGCTCGGAGGAGAGGTTATGTCTCAGATCAATCAGTCGTATAAAAAGAATATACACAAACACTTTAAGTTTCATTACACACATTTTATAAGACAAAATTCAGCAGGGCTTTACCTTGTATTTTCTCCATGTAGAGGACTGTGTTAGTGACATTAAAATAACTGCCTCAAGTGATTACATTTTTTTTTTTTGTAGATTCTGGCATTTTAATCAGGTACTTTAGGAAAAACAAATGTGAAGACACTAAAGATTACAGTATCTGATTTGCCATTTCTCAGCCTCCTTTAAATTACAAATAACTGGGATTAGTTACAAGAAAGCCTCCCATCCCTATCTTGATGAGGATTTGAAGCGCTCAAAAACTTGCATTTTCCCTAGTGAAAATATCAAGGAAGGAGCAAAGGGCTTCTTGAGACCCCGGTGTGCTGCTATCAGACAGAAGGACTGAAAGGACTGGAGAAAATGATTGTACTGTATGTGCAGTGGGTTCTGCACACCCTGAAACAGGGCTTGTAGAGCTACAATTATAGTAGAATTTGCTTGCTTAGTATGAAGTTCTCAATTGGTTTAGGCAGGGATATGAAATATGACTTCTGTCCTTATGCCATACCCTGCCGAGAGGGATCAGATGTGACACAGAGTGATCTTGGCAATAAGGTCTCTGTGAGGCATTCTGGGTTTGGAGATCAATGTGCCCAGCTCACTCCTGTGAAGCCCAGCCTACCAAAATGACCTTTCTATTCTGCTTTTGCAGAGAGAGTGTAAACCTGGCACCTTCAGTTCATCTGCTTTTATGCCAAGGAGAATTGAAGGGAGGGACCAGATATGGGGAAGCTGTTACCTTGCAAAGACGCATGGTTTATTTTTGAGGACAGCAGAAAGGATTTTAGAAACTTAATAATATATCCAGTGCTCCGAGGTATGAAAGACCCTCTGGAAGATCAAGAAAAAACAAGAGTCGTAGTTCCAGTGCTTTGCGTTCAGCCTATTGGCACACCTCTAACTGCCTTTAGGGAGTCCAGACAGGGATAAAGGCAAGGCCTGGTATATTTTCTCACTCAGCTCTGCACATGCACCTCACCAGACACAGTGGTTCAGTGGTGATGATGCAGACATAGTGTTAAAAAGCCCAACCAAGTTTAGGCTCATACCCACTCCAGGCCTTGCCATAAGGGACAGCAGGCTCTCCTGCAGCATACATGGAGCTTCACAAGGAGCTAGTCCAAGATTTCTCCCCACTGCATGTTCAGGAGTACCTCAACATTGTTTAAAAAAAAAAAAAAGAAAAGAAAAAAAGAACTGGACAGCTATCACCTTTTTCTTCTATTCCAATAGAAGTGACTCTGTCAAATAGTAAGATGCAGTGTTCATGTATTTGAAATACTACCGTGAAAAACAGTAACCAAGTATCACATTAGCATGGAGTAAAAGCTTATTGCAATACTTATGTATGTAAATATTTACTGCTCTCCGAGAATCCTTTCTCTATCAACTTCTCTTTCCATTCCAGGTTGCTGTTAAGTTCTTAAGTTGGATGATTAGAGTTTAGAACTGACTTCTATGCCTTAATACACATTTATGAAATACATACCGAGGCTGCTATGCTTATGTTATATTCATGCTCAGCTAGAAGCGTTTCTTGTGTAGTGGAATTAAAGTTACGGGGTAGATGATGCAGAGACGTAGTTGCTGCTTGCAGTAGAAAGGCTCCAAAATAAAAGACGAAAGTAGCTCCATGGAAAAGAAAATCCTGAAAAGCAAACAACAGAATCAGTCAGTGCTGCAAGAGATATCTAATTTTCCAGCCTTAGTGCAAATGAAACCGAACACTGAAACATGAAATGTATGTGCACTGATAACAATAATTTTAGATAAACAGCATAAAATCCACCTCAGAGTTTAACTAGGACATTTTCTCAGCGGCTTGCAATTGTAACTGTAATAGCAACACAGTGACGGAATTAGTGATAAATGGCAACCCTCCTACCCAGAGTCTTTCAAATTAAGAGGCACCTGCCCAGCTATGTGCATATACATTGACCTTTAAGATCAATTTAGGACTATTGAGAGCTTAAAGAACTCTTTGCTTTTATAAGGCCTACATAATATTAATTCAAAATATATATATATATACACATATATATGGACTCACTTCACCTCAATTTAACCAGAACAATTCAAGCTTGCAGTCCCCAAAATCCAAACTCAGTTGTGACCGAAACCCCCAAAGTTCCTCCTCCCATGCTTAAATTTTGCTTCTGCAAATGTCCACAAACATCTTAGTCTTGACACAGCTGAAGTTTACCCCCAGGTACAACCAGAACCCAAGAACTAGGGCATTTCCTCAACTCTAACACTCGATTCTATACAAAACACAGTAACTTGTGGGTTCTTTGTGATATTGTTGAATAAAATGCCTTAACCATACTTTTCTCCTGACATTCTCTAGGCTAGTCCCTGCTCTCTGGTGAATATTAAGTGAGCACAATGTTTAGGCCCCCAGCTCACGTTTCTGGCACTAAAAGAAAAAAAAAAAAAAAGTGCTTAAATCACTTTGTGGATTAGCCTGAGCCCAGCATTTCAGGCAGGAAGATCCGTGACCTGCTTCAGCACATTTTTAAAATGTCTAAAATACTCTTCCCCAATCCTCCTCTGCTGATGGGTCTGCAAAGCACTCATTTGCAGTCCATGCAGTTCCCAAATCCACCCACAACATGCCTTGTACACAAAGTTATGCAGACACAATTTTCAATTCTGTATGGGAGTATATTATGCTTTTAGATGATACCTACATTAAATAGTCAATCTACAACATTAATGAACTCATTCTGCACTTGTAATTCACTTAAGTACATGGGGCTACCAGTAAACCAACAGTGAAAGCACAGGATATGCATATGCGATTTGACCTCCACAGCATTTCAGTGCACTAGAAATAACTGGGCGATGCCCTTAAGTACTCACTGTCTGATATCAAGGTAAAGATGTGCTGCATTTCCCAATTTAGAGAATTGCTTCTTCGCAGATGTCAAGTTTTCTTTTAGTTTAAAAGTATCTGCTTTGCAAACTCATCAATTGTTCTGTATTTGACATGAACTGAAACTACTTAAGTCACAGCAGAATCAGCTTTGATAAGTTTTTAATATAAGCTATTGCTACAGCTTTCCATTTCCCTTAAACCAAGAATGACTGTCTCTTAACTAAGGATCATTTGAGGGCAGGTCGTAGAGGGCACTGTTTTTCTTCCTGACTGAAAATTATTGAGAACCCAAGTTTTAGAACAACACCTGCAATATCCCTGGTTTCTAGCTTTGTGTCCTAGCTATTTGCAATTACTTCCTCTTGAAGTATCAATAGGAAGCCCCAGTGATACAAACAGAACTGAGAGCAGGTGGCTTTATCATCTGGTTTCAAGGCCTTTAAGTATTTGCTGGCAGGACAGACACTGTCCATCCTGAGCCCTGACATTATCAGCTTTAAAGGACAGGACAGCAGCAACTTGAAAGGTCTAGGTAAAGCTAGTGTTATTCAGAGTTATTGACCCTACTTTTTCGGCACCATGGCTTGCAAAGGAGCATAAATAGCTCCAGGAGGAAAGTAGTGCTGGCTGCATGCAGAAGAGGTATTTTCAGAAGACAGACTCTTTCATTTCCTCCACTCACCACCCAAACCCTCTGATTTTCTTCTCCTGGCAGCAGTTACAGTAAAGCTATGTAGCACTAGTAAGGTTTCACATTTGTACAGCTATGTAAAGGTTGGTCACCTTCTGTGACCAAAAAACCCAAGATGTTACTATGGAGGGTTTTTTGTTTTTTTAATAACTTGTTAGCATAGTGCCTAATTCCCCCTTGCCTTAGAACTTAAATAATCTTTGAAACCTCATACAAAGTGTTCACAAAACACTGCCAAATCAGTATAATACATTAGTTCACATCTAATTTTGTAAATGAGTGTGTTGTGAGTCAGGCTGTAAAGAACAGTATTTGCCACACCATCTGGTTGAATACAGAGGAATGTATCTGCATAAGGTCTGTATTTTTTCTTGACTTCTCTACTGTGTAGCATCTTATTACTTAAGTATCTGTATCAATGGCATTATCCATGACATAAGCTATTACTAAAAACAGGCCTATCAGAATCCCATGCTGTTTTTCACATTTACATTTAAGGTGCTCGAATCTTAAACAACATTTGCTCAGGAATTTTTAGAGTTAGGACTCTAACATAACCAAGCCACCACTATTCCCATTTTTGACCTAATAAAACAACACCTAACTTGTGAATTCAATTATAAACTTAATTTGGGATGTTAATCTGAAAAGCTGCCATAACTAAGTTAAGTTACAGAAGAGTTTCTTACACAGAGCTTTTGCACAAGCTGGGTAGCAGTTAGCTGACATGGAAAGTTTCTCCATAATTTAAAATCACATGAAATGGACTAAAATTAATGCTACGACCAATCGCTGCTACCACCCAGCAGCCAATGTTGGAGACACAGGAGTGTTAAGATGAATATTTGTATAGCATTTTCAATACACAAAAGGCTATGCCCTCATCCAGGAACTCTTCTAAATAGATGTATGATTGTAAATTGGCAAACAGTTTCAATGAAACCCAGGACACTATTAATTTACTTTAGTTAGACACATGCTCAAGGGCTCTGCTGCATCATAATTTGTGAGGATGTCATAGCATAGATCCCTGTAATGCTCTTTGCAATTATCCTAACTCATTATTAGCTTAATTACTGCTTGTATCGTGCTGGAAAGCTGATGTTGAATGCATGCATTTGCTATCAAAGTGCTGCAGTTTGTTTTGAATAGAATCTAGTCTGCTAGGACCAATGGGCTTCAAGGTATCCGTCAGAGACCCAAATGGAGAAAGCTCTACTTGGCTTCACAGAGATTTCATTTCAAGGGACAGTCTCTAAATAATTTGAACATGAACAGAGAGATAACCACAGATGTGGATGCTGAAGCGTACAAACCTAGTTATGTTTAAGAAAACTGTAAACAGAAACAAAATGACCCATGAAAGAGGAAGGTGAAGGTGATCAGCAGCTACACAACAACCCAGTTTCATGTTTTAGAAGTTCTGATCTTTTTGGAGTATTTTTGGAAGCTCCATTTCTTCTGACATTTTTGCCATCCTTATTATTCATTCACAGTATTATAAAACAGAATAATACCATACTGTTCCCAGCTACTTACAGCTAAAAATTCAAAGGAAGTAGTTAATGATGCCAAAGGAGAACACAGACTACCAGGCAATAACTTGAGATGTCCATGAGGACAGAGCCAATGCTTGCTCCTCATCCTCCACTTTCTTTCTTTTTGGTAATAAGAAGGTACAGTCTATGAGAACCACTGGCGCAAGCCATAATGCATGAAATCTTTTCTTCTTACTGAAGAAAAGCTGTTCACAGCTTAGTGAAATCTGTAGTCTCCTTAGACTTCCTCTAAGGAGAGGAACTTAAATCTTCTAAAAAGATATTAAGCTACACTGCACTGCAGGTCACACTGACTATCTGGAGTCACACACCAACACTGTGCTACCAAAGGTATTAACCCAAAAGGCAGCCAAAGGCTTTCACAGGAGCACTCGACTCCAAGAGACTTCCTCAGTCCTTGAGTCTAGTGCTAATCTCAGACAACCACATAGTACAGTGTATTCAAAAATGTATCACTTTGTTTACAATATCAGAAGGATCTTTCTACTTCTCATTATTCACAGGGTGTTGCCACCACTACTCTAACAGTTAAAAAATATTTCTTAGCTTCAAGTCTGCAATTATTTATGGCCAATTTAAACCGATTTGTTGTCATGCCTTATTAAACTAGTCCTCTTCCTGCTGCTCATGCCTTCTATATGTTTGTAGAAGACAAGTTTGCACCTTCATTCAAATTCAAAAGTCCTTGTTGCTCTGCGCTGTCTTCTTCCACTCTGAATTTCTGTTTCGAGCATTTTTTTGCTGTTAAAATCGTGGACCAAGCATTATGACTATAAGTATTTCTCAGTAAGTGATTTCCTAGTTATAAAGGAAATAAAATCCTTAAAACAGAATCTTACCGCCTGGTTCCAGTTGATGGCAATCCTGTTTGCGTAGCTGAAGAGGAACACGCAGAGGAAGACGACGGACAGGAACCACGCGGTCACCGCCACGAACATCACCCATCCCTGCAGCAGCGGCAGCGGCACCCGGGTGGCAGACACCAAAATCCAGACCACTGTCCCGAACAGCTGCAAGGACAGCAACACAGGTGAGGGGCTCGCAGGGAACCTTCACTCACTCCTCTCCACCTGAGAACTAGCCCTTAATACCACAGATCAACAAGTCCTCGGGTTACTTTTAGGAGCAAAGAGGGAACACTTCCAAAGCACTTGAGGAGCCTAAGTACCAGTCTCAGAAGTGAGAGGCACTAAGTAGAAGTTACAAGGAAGCCCCATCAAATTCTTAAAAGCATTTAAATGAACCCTGAAAATGGGATTTACAAACCCACGCTGCTCATGTGCTGCTCCTGAAAATTTTACACCTTAGGCTCAATTTGAAGGGAATACAGGAAATGGGAAAACATTGCTGACACACACATTGTGCAACATATATAATATCCATGTATAACGTCAACATATATACTAAAACTAGCATGACAATGATGCACATGAGATTTGGTTTCAATCTTATGCTGTTCAGTCCTAATCAAACAAGATACAGAAAAGAAATTAAACTGCATTGTATTTTTCAATGCATTTGTAATAAACTGCTGGAAGAAAACACATTAAGTGAAACAGAAGCCTAGAAATCAGTTGAGCTGTAAGTTATGTGGCAATGACTAGAAAAGCACACAGCTTTTCAGAGTTTTTGCAACTCGGAGAAAAATTAAGTCCCACAACTTTTGTTTGTAGCATACAGATCTTATGTGGGCTGAGGGATCATTTACATACCCTATAGCTTATTTAAATCAATTTGTTGTGGGCTAATAAAGGGTATTATCTACCTGCAGATCCTGTCCTTTTTTAAAAAAAGAAATGGTGTTTGGCAAAAAAAGAAAGTAATTTCTACTCGCAACATGTTCATTTATTACAGAAAGTTGCTGCCATAATCCAAGCCACCACGATACAACAGCTCCGGTTAATTCCCAAGCACGTTACTCTCCTCCGGATCTCCGGAGCTGCAGGTACCGAGCGCGGTGCTACATTTCCACACCGCAGAACCTCGCCCAGGCCGTGAGAGCCGCGTCCCGCACAAGGTGCCGGCTGTGGACGGCCGGACCCGCTCTCGTCACGTCGCAGCAGCCCATGCGCTGCAGCCCCGGCTCGCGACCCCCATGAGGCCGTGGACGAACCTCCAACCTGATCCCTGGGGGTCCCTTCTTA